CCCCAAAACCCCAAAACCCCAAAACCCCAAAGCGCATGTGACAAATTGAAGTTTTAGAAATTAAGATTCAGGAAGGTATAAAAAGAAGATTAATTAATCATAAATAAATATGAGTAAAATAGTTAGCGTACAACCTTCTCCTAAACATTCAAGAGATAATGATAAAGATGAAGGCATGAAGATATCGTGGAGCAATCTCCACTACACTGTCAAAGCCAAGTACAGCAAAGCACAGAGCAAAGACCTCAACACCAAAGATAAATACTACGACAAAGAAATCCTGAAGCCCCAGAGCGGCTACATTAAGTCAGGTGAAACCTGTTTTATCATGGGTTCTTCCGGAGCCGGCAAGACCACTCTGCTCAATGTGCTCTGCGACCGAATCACCCAGAATTCCAAGTGCAAGCTTGAAGGAGATATCTTGCTGAACGACTCGTATCCGGTGACTCAGAAGGACTTCGGAAAGTATGGAGCATATGTGATGCAGGACGATGTGCTATTCCCAACACTCACTTGAGAAGAAGTCATTACATTCTCGGCAAGGCTCAAGCTTAATATTTCTGGACAAGCGCTAAAGCTTAAGGTTGACAAGATCATCGACAGTCTTGGGCTTTTGAAGTGTAGAAAGACAAAGATAGGAAGTCAGGAGATCAAGGGACTTAGTGGTGGTGAAAGAAAGAGAACTGCTATTGGAGTTGAAATGATCACTGATCCTCAAGTTCTTTTCCTTGATGAACCAACTTCTGGATTAGATAGCTTCACAGCTAATAAGATCGTCAGACTTCTGGTCGATCAGTCTCGTCAAGGCAGAACTATCATTGCAACCATACATCAGCCAAGTTCCAGCACTTTTGCTCTATTCGATAGACTCATTCTGTTAATGGATGGCCACTTGATCTACCAAGGCAAAGCTGATCAGGCAACCAACTACTTCCAAGGACTGGGCTTCAAAGTCCCTACTTACGCAAACCCAGCAGATTTCTTCTTGAAGGAGTTCTATGTGCCATTCAGGAAGACAGCAAAAGACTCAGAAAAGTTGGACAGATTGGTCCAAGGATACGAAATTAACATGAAGCAAGCTGTGGAAGCTGAAAATAAAGGAGAAAATAACTATGAAAAAATCACATCAGAAAAGCTAGACGATAATAAGTCTCATGCAGGGTTCTTGGTTGAATTCAAAGAGCTTCTAAAGCGTGCTCTCAAAAATATAGTAAGAAGTCCCTTGATGACTAGGATGAGAACCATGCAGACCCTAGTTATGGCCATCCTTTGCATACTTATTTTCTGGGATCTTGAAGAAGACAGAGAAGGAGCAAATGGCAAAGCAGGATTCCTTTTCTTTGTTGGTATAAATCAAACCATGACTGGGTTAATGGGAGTTCTACTGGTGTTTATACTTGAAAGACCAGTGTTTTTAAGAGAACATGCTAATAATACGTATGGTCTAACCTCTTATTTCACATCAAAATCAATGGTAGAAGCTCCATTCCAAGTGATGTTCCCCATATTAACATCAATAATGGTCTACTTTCTTGTTGGATTGACAGCAGAGTTTGATAAGTTCTTAATATTCACTCTTGTGCTTGTAGTTCTCGTATTCTGTTCGACCTCAGTAGGTTTCTTCATCGGCTGTCTGTTCGACAACCCTTCAGTGGCCACGCCTGCCTCCATGATCATAATGATGCCCTACATGATGTTCGGAGGCTACTTCGTCAACCTAAAAGATGTATACGTGTGGCTCAGGTGGATCCAGTATTTGTCACCCTTGAGGTACTCGACGGAAGCACTGATGAGGAATGAATTTGAAGATAATGAAGAGTACTCGCAGGAATTTCAGGAGATTTACGAAAAATACGACTACAACATCGGCCTCTGGCCCTGCATCGGCATCCTCGCTCTCCTCTCAATCCTCTTCCGAATCGGCGCTTACATCTCCCTCCGCCTGACAGTGACCAAAGTCCAATAACCCTCCACCCTAACCTAACTTATCCAAATTCTCCCTAAACCCCTTCTCCATTCCTCCTCTCACTCCCCATACACCCTCTTATTCCCCATTTCCTCTCTCCAACGCTTCAGGCTAAATTTCCCGGTTTAATTTTTTAGATTTGTGTAAAAGTGTCACGTCACTGGATTTTTAGTAAAAATTCTGATAACGTTTCAATGTTGTCCTAATTTACCGGGGTTTTGGGGTTTTGGGGTTTTGGGGTTTTGGGGTTTTGGGG